AACCATACTGCTAACAGAGCCACACTTCTGGCAGTACCATGCTGCTAACAGGACCACACTGCTAACAGGACTGTGCTGCTAACAGGACCACAATGCTAACAGGACTACAGTGCTGACAGAGAACCAGTGCTGGCAATACAACACTGCTAACAGGATCATACTGCTGAAAGAGTCACACTGCTGGCAGTACTATGCTGTTAACAGGACCAAGCTGCTAACAGTACCATGCTGTGAACAGAACCATGCTGCTAACAGTAACAATATTTTTATAACAATATTTTCTATTTTAATGTATTTTTATTGTTGTATATTGTTGTTGTACTCTATATGTTGTCTGTGTAAAAGTTTGTCACTCACTGAGACTACCTGTTTAAGTAAAGTTTAAATAAATATAGATTATTTAATCAGCCATCACCTTTCATGCCAGAGTTTTAGATTACGATTATCTCATGCTGTGAAGAGCTGGAGCCATTTTAGTATTTGGTTGTTGATGACTCTCAGCTACTTCCCAACAACTGGTTTGTCAATATCTTGAACTTTGCCTAATTTAGAGACAGTTTTTTCTTGGGTAAGATCAAGTAAGCTGTGGCAGCCATCTTGAACCAGAGGAACTCCAAACATCATACACTTGTAGATCCACAGCTAAGGAGTTTCACTAAAATCCAACCAGTGGTTCATGAGATATTTCGCTAACACTCAGACAAGCACACACTCACACAGACATGGAAATAATAATAATAATAATGAGTTGACATGAGATGCAAATCTCGAAACTGGACAATTTTACACACGGTTTTTAACCAAAACAGCAAGTAAATGAGTTTCAAATCAAAAATCACCAACAGTTCAGTCTTTAGAACACGGTTAAGGTCTTTTTATGTCTCCCTAAAAGCTTACGAGTTCTGCAACAGCTCCTCTGTGTAGAAGAAAACGTCTCTAAAAGGCAGTTTTCTTGCAGCGTGTTGAAGCGGCAGAGGGGTCATAAAGGGACGGATGAAACAGCAGGGACAGGTGCTGCGACTCAGACTCTAATGAAAAATGGATTTGTGCCACCGTGCTGAGGAAGGAGGGCTTTTAACTCAAAGAAACAAACAAAAACACTAAAGGATTTATTTTCTGTGCAAAGATTTATGCGGAGAGAGGGAACTTCTGTCATTTCCCCAAAAATGAATGCTTTGTAAGTACGAGTGGAACTTGTCTGGTACTCACCTTGCAGCCCATTGAATTTATCCCACAGGAGACATAAATATGAACTGATTCAATTCTGAAAAGATCATTTCTGGCTTCAGGGGTAGGGTTAGGGTTGGTTATTCAATTATTTATTTTCCTTGCAGAGTTGCTGAAGGGTATCTAGGGAATTTGATGGTCCAGTCCACATGTGTTCTGTGTCGGAAGAAGGATTACGACCCACAAGAAGTTATGAGGTGGGTTGCTTTTAAGGGTTTTCTGGTTCCAAGAGCAGTGTATTCTGAACATGAAGGGAAGTTGGTTTCCGGTGCAAGTTGGACTCTGACAGGGCTGCCCCTGGTTGCAGGTGCTGTTCGTCCCGGCAAGGAGACAAACGGACTTCCGGGCTTGTCCTGCTGGGAGGAGACTCCAGGTCAAAGCCAGAACTCGTTGGAGGGAGTTCAGGGAGGACTTTGGGATTCCTCAGGAGGAGCCACAGAGTGTCAGTAAGGAGAGAGATGACCACATGATGTGGAGAAGAAAACACATTTGGACTGTCTTTAAAACTTTCTAACTTAAAATATAACCCAACTCACAACTTCTGGTTTGCATGCTTTGATTATTTCAAAATCTTAGGTTGTTTTCACACCTGATAGTCCGGTAGACTCGGTTCGGTTAGGGACCTGTTGCGTTTGCATTCACACTGCACTGTGCAGTCGAGCCCACCTGTTCG